CCTGCTCTTCCCAAAGGGGTTTGGATGGAGAGCTGATGTGAAGTGATGGGATAAGAGCCAGCGCTTTGCTGTGATGGTTTGTCAGTGCAGTGGATTACAGTGATTTTGCTGTGGGTTGCTCTATGGTCTCTATCTCCCCAAACCCATCAGGTCCTATGAGAACTGGGCCAGACTCTCGGATAAAGAAGCCCTGCTGGGGCAGTAGCTGGTCCTGCCTGCGATGGGCTCATCCCTGCACTCACCAGAGTGGCCAAAACCCCCTTACAAATAACATACATCTTTAAATTGCAAGGATTTCCCCCATGGTGGCTGCTCAGGGGCTCAAAGACCCAACTTAAAGCTGACTTGCTGCTGCAGAGGAGCCTTCACCCACTCTATTTCTCCTGTTGGGTCTAACATGCACCCAAAAGCAGTGCTGGAGCTGAGGTGCCCCATCCTGCCCTTGGCATGCCCCGGGGTGGGTTTTGTGGGACATGGAGCCAGTCGCTGGGATTTAATAAGACACTTATTGTATGTTACGTATCAAGAGCTGATAGGAAACATGTGTCCCCAAGGATTAACAGCCGTGTAGAAGATAAAGCAGGGAGTTCAACCTCCAAGGAGCACGTTTCAAATAACCCACTGTTGCTGCAGCATGGAATAACCAGGGTAAGGAGTGGGATGGGTGAAGGTCAAACCGGTATCACAGGTCACCATGTCCCAGGAACCACGGGATGAGGCCGGTGATGCCTATGGATGCTGGTTATAGCGCAGGAGCAACGTCAGTTCCGTCTTCTCCCATTTCTTCCTCCTCTTCCACCTCTCCCCTCTCTTTTTGCTTTTCCCAGGCCCCAGTTTCTCCCCCGTGGAGGCAAAAGCTTTGGCTAATTAGCAAAACGTGTCAAAGAGAATGATGAATGGCCCGGGAGGAGGTTTAGCTGCCTTTGTGCCTGACTTCTGCTCTTAAAGGGTTTATTAGACGATAAGGGAGCTCATGATGGCCGAGCAAAGTATGTGCTATCACGGGCGTTAAAGGGTCGGAAAAGAGGGGGGGGGGGGGGATATGGGGTGGATCGGGGTCACTCTCAGAGGGAGAGCCCAGAGCTCTTGTTTCTCTGCCTCTGTGTGTGACCATCACCGTGGTGTCTGGCCTTGGCAGGTGAAAAAAGACATGACACACCCCCCCCCCCCACGGCTGAATGCCTCCTTTATTCCTGCAGGGGCAGGTAATTTAATCTCATCAGCCAGGTTATGAATGTCTCTGTGTTACAGGGGGTTTGTGTGGGTGCACGTGCCGGGGGCGATGCTTTAGGGTGTTCTCTATGTGGGTGCTCAAGGTTGGTGCTGGGGAGCGAGGACAAGGAGAGGCACAGCCAGGGGCCTGTCCTGCTTGGTGGCAGCAGGGACAGGGGTGCTCAGGACTCGACTCACTCCATGGCCACGGTGCCTTGAACCCTGTGGGACATCCCTGATGCTGTTCAGTGCAGGCTCAGACTCCCCATGCTGGTGGCTCCCAGTGCTGGGTGGACAGCAGAAGCACAGGCAGGGACACCAAGGCATGGTCCTACCAGGACCACAGTGTGCAGCATCTCAGCTGTCCTCATCTTTCATGGGTTCAGGCATGTTTCAAGCAGCTCCCAAAGTGACCAGTTCAGTGAAACTCATACTCCCTAAAGCCCAAACCCCTCAAAACCAGCAGCTTTTGCACCATGGGATCACCGGCATCCCTGTGCCATGCCAGCATCCCAGTTGGGAAGCAGGGAGAGGATGAGCATGGTGGGAGCTGTATCACCAGCACTTGTTTTAAACCATGAGTGATTCCAAACCCCATCAGACACTGATGCCTGCAACTGCAGAGGCCTGAGCCACTCGGTGCATGTCAAAGGGGTGGGAAGGGGTAGGGGGGTGGTGTCAGGAGCTGCTCCATGAGGTTTTCCTCCAGCAAACAGACCTCTGGGCTTAATAAGCTATTTGTAAAGCTCGCTGTGGATAAACAAGAGGCCATGTGTGAGGCTGGAGGCGGCCTCGCAGGGCTCCACCGCGCGGGCTGGGACCTCAGCACAGAACTATTTGCAAGATAAACAGAGGAAAATGAGTGCTGGATGAGGCCAGGGCCGCTGGCAGCAGCGTGCCGCTCCTCTCGTGGGTATTTTGGGGCAGGAACTTGGTTTTCTGTGTGCTGTGGCTGAAAGATGCTGGGGTTTTGCCTCCAAAGGGAACCTCGCGTGCTTCTGAGTCAAAAATAGACCCGAGGAGCGGTTGGGAGAGGCGCAAAGAGGGCTTGCAGGGGAGTTTGAGGGTGAGGAGCTGGGATGTGCGGCTGCTGGTGCAGGTCCCCCTTGGGCTGAGGTGGCAATAGTGGCAATGTTAGGAGCAGAGCTGCCCTGCCTGCTGCTCGTGCCTCCCGTCAGCTCCTCTGTTCCTCCACGCAGGTAGATGCAATGTAATGGTGCCCGGGACACTGCCCTGTCCTCTGCTTGGCCTAGGCTGGAGCAGGGGAAATGGGTTGGGGTCCATCCTTCCATCCCCTCCATCTCTCCATCCCTCTGTCCTTCTATCTCTCCATCTCCTCCATGTCTCCATCCTTCTGTTCCTCTATTCCTCCATCCTGTCCATCTCCCCATCCCTCTATCCTTCCTCTATATATCCATCTCCTCATTCTCTCCATCCCTCCCATCCTTCTATTCCTCTATCTCTCCATCTCCTCCATCTCTCCATCCTATTCCTCTACTCCTCAACCCCATCCATCTCTCCATCCCTCTGTCCTTCTATTCCTCTATATATCCATCCCCTCCATCTCTCCATCCTTCTATTCCTCTATCTCTCCATCCTGTCTATCCCAACATCCCCTCCATCCCACAATTCCTCCATCCCTTCTGGCTCTAGTCAAGTGGGACAGGGTGTATTCCCTGAGGCCTGGTGAACTCTCACTGCAGCATCCCTGCATCCCGATGGCGATGGCTGAAACACAGCACTCACACTTGAGGCTGGGGATGGCTGTAGCAGCACAACCCTCTCTGGTGGTCTCTTTGGGAACGCTAAACTGGGCAAACTGGGATGGGGGAAGCCGTCCCTTCTCTTCGCACACTTGCAAATCTCCCTTGGACATCAGGCTCGGTGGTGACTTCCTTTTCCCCTGCTCTGGAGACTGCAGCCATGGGGTGATGCCTGACTTGGGGCACCACGGCTGGGACCCGCCTGCAGCCCAGATCTCTCAGTGAAATCTCCTCCTTCTCTTCCCCACCCCCAGCAAATTTAATTAAAAGTCATTCAGATTCCTTTGAAAGAAAATGTCATCCGTCGACACAATTACACTTTAACTAACCAAAGCTGTTACAGTTCCTATATATATTGGAATCAGGCTGTCGTTATTAGTTCTAAGTAAGTAATTTATTCCCATTATTGTGTTCAAATTACAGGATATTACCCCCTGGGGAAATAATCCTGTTATTTGAAATGTAAAAAAGAACTCACATGGACAACAATGGATTCCTGAAGGAACCCAACAACAGTCCCCAGTCCAAGTGCAGCATCCCTTGCCTTGCATGGAAAAATATGAAGTTGCTTTTAAAAATGCTCTTTTCTCCTCTCTTTTCCTCCTGCCACCCCAACAGAGGTAAATACAGCTCCTCCTCTTCTAGCGAAGCCTCTATTCAGTGAGGGAATCCTGGATGTGCAGGAATAAGGGGAAGGGACATGTATGTGTGTGACCTCCCTTAATGCGGTGATGGGAAGGGAGCGCTGGGATGGTGGGATGCCTGGTACATCCCAACGGGGGTTCTGCTGGAGCTGGGAACCATCGGCTTACTCTAGCAAAGAGCTGCTGAGCCCCTTCAGAAACACTGTTCCCTTCATCGAGATCCTCCAAATAACAGCTTGTCTCTACAACACCCAAACATAAGCAACTAATTTGGACCCACCGAAAGGAAAAAGGGGGAGGCCAAAAAAGAGAAGAGAAAGAGGAGGAAGAGGGAGGGGAGGGAAGAAAATCAGATACACTTGTAACCTGATTACAACAGCCAGCTATGTGTGCAAAATCACAATGCAGCTCTATAATTAAATCTCTCTTTCCCCCTCCTGCCGAGCTCTTTCCTCTAACAGGCATGGTACAAAAACAGTCGTTAGGACATCAAATTCCAGCTCCGACAAGAGGGGACCTTTTTTGTCTATAGCTGCTCGCCTCCTCTTTAAGGAAATAATAATTATAAGCCCAGCGCTGCTGGCTGACGAGCTTTGTGGGGCAGAAAGGGCTCGTCTTGTCCAACTGTTCCTTTAGGGCTGTGGAGAGGGAAAAGAGGAGGGGAAGTGCTGGGAGCCAGCCATGGACACCCCCTCCTTGTGGTGGGGTTCAGGGTGAGAGGAAACCCTGGGGTCTAACAAGATGCTTGAGGGTTTGCAGCCATAGCTATGTCTTATCTTGCCCCGCTGGTTTAGCATCAGTGGTTTGGTACCCATGAGATTCCCAGGTGGGTGTGAGGGTTTGGTGGGTGCATCCTGAGGCATATGAGGAGCCAGTGGATTCCTGGACATGGGGAAGACTCCTGCCCTAACACTTTCCCAAGGGGGCCTGGCTTCTCCTCACGGTGGTCCCAGATCCTGGGTCACAAGGTGATGGAAGGATGCTATGGATACAGCCCCCAAAAGGAACATGGAAAGGAGCCCCAGGAGGACAAGGATAGCAGCCTCCCTCCCAGCCCTGCCTGTTAATGGCTTTGATTTACTCCACGTTCGTCACAGCTATTCCCATCCCTGTGACACCCAGCACGTGCTTTTACTGGCAGCTGCAGGCTGGTTTCAGCCTCGGGGACCCATTTCCTCGCGGGCAGGTTCCTGCTTGCTTCTTCGGCGTATTTTTGGGAACAGGTTTTGCATCCCATCTTCTTTTCTGCTTGAGGGAGCGGGGTCTGAGTTTCTTACAGTGATGGCACGTCTGGTGCAATGACTTGCAGCATCGTGGGGAGGGCAAAGGAGAAAGCCTGGCAGCAGGGGACCAAAAATGGGTCCCAGTGTGCAAGCTAACTACCACTGAGAGAGGATTTATCGATTGCACCTTGCTGGCAGGTAGGAGGAAGCAAGACTGAGCGCTGATGCAGGCTTTGCGATGTGACACGGATTCAGATGCCGTTCCAATGAGGCTGTGGATGTTTGGGTTTAATGGCAATTAACAGCTGTTAAAAGGCAAAAAGATCTATCCTAATAACACCTCCTGCTCCTGGTGCCTTTCATGAAGGGATTTGAAAATACGGTTGTGAGTGTTGATTTTAAGCCACGATAATGTACCCCAGGGAGGTGAATGGGTTTACCTTGCTTTCAGGCGGGGAAGCTGCAGCAGGCCAGGGCATGATGTGGGGACGAGCGTTTAACACCTGGCTCTGGGACAGGACTGAGCCAGGGACCAGTCAGCAGCATGGGTGCAGTTTTCACCAGCATTTCCCATGTCTTTTATTTAGGGGGGGGAAGATTAAATCAGTGCAAAACCAGGGGCACTCACAAGTTTAACCTTCAGTAGGACCCTTGTGCTGGGGGGGCACGTAGGAAATCGTCTCCCTGGGAGATGCAGCAAATCTGGATTTTCCAGTTCCTGGAGGGCTCTGCTTGTTGAAATGAGAAGCAGATAGGAGAGGTGAATTTTAAGAAGGACAGAGCAAAGGCACACAAGTCTGCAGTTAAGTTCTAAACTTCTTTCTCTGGATCTCCCGCTGAGTAAATGCTTTAGGAGCTTCAAACCACAGCTTTTAATATTCCTTAACATGCCCCACGATTCCTTCTCCCCCCCTGTCGCAACGGCAAAGAGCAGCTGGGAATATTTTCCATTTCCAAATGCTTTGTATGCATACGAAAGTACCTGCAGCTCCTGTGGGCCGGGCTACGGGAGGAACGCTGAAGCCAAGGGTATCTATTTGATATCAAACCTCAAAATAGCACATGCTACTGCTCGTGTCCTGCATCCAGGAGGGTGTTTTGGATTTAAGTGACAGATCAAGGGATAAATCCCCAGTTTACTCCGTTGATGTAGAAGATCTTGCCCTTTGGAGCTCAGCATTCCCGTTTGCTTGGATGGAGGCTTGTTTTAAACGCGCATACCTGTAAGGCTGGGGTGCTAGATGGGATTGCAGATTTGGGGAGGGTTTCCCATGGCACGTTTCTCCACCAAAGCACATTTTTTTCCTGCTGAAAGGTGTAACTGCCATTTCCGTGCCTTCCAACCAATTTAGCAGCAGATCTGTAGCCAAAAAAACGCAGGCAGTAATTACAGCTTTGGGAATCGCGTTCCTCTCAAAGCTCTCCATGGGCTGTATATGTCAGCCCTCCTCCCTGCTCCCTGCCTATTTCCACCCCCCCCCCCCCCCCCATCTTGGATGAAAAAAGCTTATTATTGGGTAAAAGGGAAAAGAAGAGAAAATAAATGCACCCTGGTCTATCAAAGATCTGGTCTATCTTTGATAAAAGCCGGTACCAGGGGGCTGTGAAAGCATTGGGCACCCAGCACAGGTCCAGGTCCTGACACTGGGGGGGTCCTAGGTTTGGATCTGGGGGGATATGCAGGTGGCAAAGTGGGAAAGCGGGGTGGTTTTGTGGATAAACACCCGCCTGCCCATGCCAGGCAAGGAAGAAACCATCAGGCTTTATTCGGACTTGAAAACCAGCTGTGGTTTGGGAGATGGTTGGCTTTATAAACCCTGGAGCTGTAGGGTCGGAACTGCTGTGATGGGAAGGGGGGGGGGGGGCACCAACCATGTCCTCTCTTCTCCCACACTGGCAGGGCATTAGGATGCTGCATCCATGGGATGTGGGGATGCTGCATCCATGGGATGTGATGCTGCTGCAGGCTCCTGGGCACTGGGTACAGCCCTGGAGGGGTGTGGGGGGGAGGACGTTTCTTGGGCTCCCCTCACTGCCCCATGCAATGCAAAGCCCGCAGCCAGGCTGAGCACAGGACTTATAATCAGCCAGGATTTATGGAGAAAAGTGAAATCTCGAGCTGTTCTGGTCATCAATCAGGAATTCTTCCCTTGGTTCCCAAGCTGTTTCCCCAGGGGGATCTCCTCCTCGGGACCCCCCACCCTGCAGCCCCCTCCACACGGATGTACAAGGGGTTGGGGTGGGAATCTGAATTACCCCCCCCCCCCCCCCATCGATGAATAAATCCCATGGGATTCATCGGAATAAACCCCAGCAGGGTCCCCCTTGCTTTCAAATCCCACCTCCCCCTGTAGGGGTTTATTTGGGGGGGGGACGGGACGGGACGACGACACACACAACCCCCTGCTGTCAAACTCAGTGCTGCTTTTAAGGCTGGGGGGGGGGGGAGGCATGAAATGAGGGCAAGGCTTTGCCGATGCGTTGGGCTCGCCGCCGACCGTGTTTTAACGTGATTTATGGCTGGATTTCTAAATCCAGCCACTGACTCCACGCTTTAAATATAGCTCCAAACCCACCCTGGAAACGTGTAGTAAGCACGTTAAAAACGCCGGGAGAAAGGGATGCGCAGCCGAGCTGGGGATGGAGGGAATGGGGGTGTGTGTGTGTTTTTTGGAGGGGGGGTGTCCTCTCTGCTCCAAGCCCATAGCAATGAGCAGGTGAGTGTGTCCCCCCCCAAGCCTTGGCAGCCCCACAAATAGGGGGATCAGTTTTGTCTCTCATGTTTCTAGACAGCCCCCCCCCTCCATCCTACCTGCATCCCTGGAGGGGGTAACGACACAACGGTCATTGTAGGACTGGGGGCTGTGAGCTCTGCGCTGCTCCAAGAGTGGCTGGGCTGAAGAGAGGAAAAATGGGGGGGAAAAGGAGGGGGAAAAGACAAAAAGGCGGGGGGGGGGGGAATAAGAGGGGAAAAGGGCAAAAAGAAAAAAAGGGGAAAAAAGGAAAAGTAAAAAACAAGAGGAAAAAAAAACAACACCCCCAAAGTTTAAAAAATATTAAAAAGAGAAAAAAAAGGGGGGGGGAGAAAAAGTGGAGGAAAAAGGGCGGTGGTAACGGAAAAATTGGAAAAAAAAGAAGGGGGAAAAACCGGAAAATAAACAAAAATAAGGGAAAAGAACCCAAGGGGAGGGATGGAGGGAGAGGAGCTGGGCGCAGGGCGGGGGTTGTCACCCCCACCCCCCGGGGCGGGCGGCACCGTGGGAACCTGCCGGGACCCTGGGGCACTGGCACCGGGGGACACATACACGACAACGCGCCCTCCCCCCCGCCAATGATTTTGACCAAAAATAGGTATTTTGGGACATAAACAGTGTTTGCGGTAAAGCTTGAGAGGGAAAAGTGTGAGAGCGGTGGCTACCCCCCAGCTTCCCCTCGGGAGCTGCGGTATAGCCCCCTTTGAGGGACCCCCCCCTCTCCAAGGGGCAATGCGGGGGACACACACACACATACAGACACCGTCTTAGTGGAAATAAAGGTGGGAAAAGAGGGGGGAATGTTGGGAAACGGTGGGAAAATGGTGCACCCCCCCTCAGTGCAGCCACAACACAGCGGGAGAAACCATAGTAATAATGATAATAGCAATAAAATATGTGTATATATATGTATAGGTATTGGGGGGGGGGGTATTTTGAAGGCATGGTGGGGGTCAGTGCTTTGTAGCAGCCCCAGCCCGGAGCTGCTGCTACAAGATGGCTCCCGGCCGGGGGAAGAGGAGGAAGAGGAGGAGAAGGAGGAGGAAGGACCGGAGCCATGGGGGGGGAGCAAGGTTTTTATTAGCATGCCCCTGATTTATGGCATGCCAGCCCCCCCCCCCTTCCAGGGGACAGTAACGGGGAGGTCCGGGCGTGAAGGCATGAAATATGTATAAAATAGGCTTTTAAAGCCACATAAAAGCTATCGAGCCATTAATATATGTATTTTTTTGCCTCTTAATTCCCCACTTTTTGGGTTATTAAACAGAAAAGGGCGGGGGGGGGGGGGGGGGGAAGCAGCCCTCCCCCTAGAAACATCGGGGTTTGAGGCTTCGCTTCTGACGCAGCCAGGTTTTGCTCTTAGATATAAATAAAAACATATATATATATACATATATTGGCGTTAAAACAGCGCCTTTCGGAGCGTGAGAGCTTTTCGAGGAAGGCGATGCCGAGGAGCAGGAAGAGGGGAACCGTTCCAGGCTCCCTTCTGGGGCCGTTTCGGGACCCGTTTCTGCCCCGTTTGTGCCGTTCGCCTCCAAACTCCCCCGTCCGGACGTGTAAGGGGGTGGCTTTATCGGTATTATTTAATTTATCCCGGGATTAAATATGTTCCCCTCCCCCTTTTTCGTTATAAAAGCCGAGTTTTAACTAAATAAAGAGCGGGCGGTGGGTTGGGAAGCTCAAGGGGGGGGGGCGTTGCGAATGATGAGGTGCTTGCTTCCCCCCCCCCCCCCCCCCCCCCCGATGCACAGGGCAGCGTGGAGAAGTTAAAAACACATTAAAGAAAGACGAAAAAGAAGGAAACAAAAGTAAAAGTTGGGCTGGACACTGGGAAGGCAGAGCCAGGGCCGTTCTCCCCCCCCCCCCCCCCCCTTTTGGCGGGCAGCTCCGCTTCTCCCGCCCGTTTGTAACGCTAAAAGCAGCTGGAAAAAGCGGAGTTTTGGTTAAATCGGAGGGGGGAGGGTGTTGTCTCCTCCTTTTCACCCTATTTTTACATTTTTTATGGGGCGGGGCCCGCAGGGAGGGATCAATCTCCCCCCCCCCCTCCTTTTCGGCCTCTCCCCTTCTCCCCCTCAAAGGCCGCTTTGTCCGCGGCGGGGCCGTGGGAGAGGGCCCGGCGGCGCTTCCCCCTCAGTCTCATCCCGGGGGGCCCTCACGTCCCGGCCGTGGCAAAGGGAGAAGGGGAGGGACGGGGGAGGGACGGGGGGGGGGAAGATTGATTTAAACCCCGCGGATAATAAAGGGTAGAAGGGGTCGCGTTGCCCCCCCCCCCCCGTCACACCTCAGAGCGGTGCAAGAAGGGGGGGGACCCGATCCCATCCCGCTTCCCCTTCCAACCGCCGCCAGCTCCGAGCGGGAGACTAAGGAGGGAGGGAGGGAGAGGGGATGGGGGAGCCTGGAAACGGGCGGCGGGAGCGCCTCAGCGTGAGGGGGAGCGGGGGGCCTGGAAACGGCCGCCTGTTTACCCGCCGCTGACTGGCAGCGCGGATGGGCAATGGCGAGGCGCGGGCGGGCGTTGGGGCAGCCCCGTTCCGCGTTGAGAACAATGCGCGTTTCATGGCCGCGCCGCCCGTTCCCCCCCCCGTTCCTCGGTGGGGTTTAGCGTTTCTCTCCTCCCGCGCTCTCCTGTGTTGTGTTTTTTTTTTTTTTTCCCCCCGTATTTTTTTAAATTTTCCCTTTTTCCTCGCTTTTTTTTTTTTTTTTTTTAAGCGAGGAGGAGGGGGGGGGTTGTGTGTGTAAGGGGGTGTTTGTGTGTGTGTGTGTGTGTGTGTGTGGTGTGGAGGCGATGCTGCCTCAGCTCGGCGGGCCCCCGCCGCTCCATGGCGCGGCTGCTGCCGCCGCGTCGCTCCCGCGTTGCCCTTGCTGAGGAGAGGAACGGAGCGGAGCCGGGCCGGGCGGCGGGCAGGGCGGCGAGCCGGCACCCCCCGCCCCAGCCCCGCGCTGCCGCCGCCATGCCCCGCGACCAGGCGGCCTGACCGCGCTGAGGTAGGAACCGGACCCCCCCGTACCCTTCCCTGCCCAACACATCCCGGGCCGCCTTTTGCTCCCTTTTTTGAGCCGTTTTCCTCTGTTTTTAGCACTTAGGAGCCGCGATCCCGCAGCCCCGCGGCCAGACTCGCCCCGCTGAGCCACGCAGGCAGCGTTTAATTGAATTTAAACCGATTTTTTTTCAGCTAAACTTAAGAAAACCACGACCCGATGGGATTTTTCTTACTGTTTTCCATTATTTCCCGTTCTATTTTATTTAATTAACCACTTTTTTTTTGCTCGGCAGGTCACCCCCTTCTAGGCTCGGAGCCGGGAAGGGCGGCGGGGCCGGGGCTCTCTGAGCGCTGGAAGGGGGGGGAATAGGGAGAAACCCCCCACTTTATTCCCCTCGGTGTTTATCATTCCTCTCTATTCCGGTGTAAAACCCGGTGGATCGGGCGTGGGATCGTTTCATCAGGCTACAAGCACGATTAGGTCTTTATTTTTCTGTATGTTTGTGTATTTTTTACCCTTTGGGGGTTTGGTTGTTTCCGAGCGGGAAAAACGGGAGGAAAAAGAAGAATAAAAACCCAAAAAAAATAACAAAACCCAAGCGGCCATTTGGAGCGTTGGGAATGCGGGGTTGGGGGGGGGGGGAAAGGGCAAGAAACGAGGCTGCGGGGCGATACCGGAGCCCTGGTCCCAATCGGGCGGCTCCCGGCGGGGCAAAGCAGCCCCAGGAGGGGAAAAAAATAGGAAAAAAAGGAAAATTAGGGAGTTTATCAGTGTTGGTTTAGGTTTTTTTTTCGGTGTTTTTCTTTTTTTATTGTTATTTAATGTAATTTTGGGAGGAGAACGGCAAAGCCGCTTCCCCGC